AGGGACAATAATGACTACCTCTGAGAATGACTAGATTTCCTCAGAGTGTAACACTCCAGTGCCTTCCCTCCCGGCTCAATGTTTACAAAACACCTATTACATTCAAGATGCCATAATCTCAGGCTGAGAGGATAAGGATGAGTAAGATACTGTCCCTGTCCAGAGGAAGCATAAAGTAATCACCGCTTCCAAGCTACCCAGATCACTGCTCTCATAAATATGTCACTAGATTCAAGCACAGTTCAGTTGTTACCTTGGTCTCCACATGCCTTGAGTTTCAAATGACTGCTGGTAAAAACGCCACACCCTGTCTGGCAAAGTTAAATTCAGTTCTATCCTTCCTCGGCTAATGGAAAATTTCCACGGTGTGTTTGTTTGTTTTGGTCCCCTAAAGTGATGGTCCCAGCATCGGCCATTCTAGATCTCCCTATTCTGCTAACACAGCATAGTTGGACGCTGGGTCCTTTTGCTAATAAATTTCTAAATGAAAAGGAATTCATTATCACCTCCTGTCTCCTATCTTATATATTCCAGATGATCCAAATTTCAGATTCCTGACACTGTGGATAACTAGACAACTAGAACTAGCTCAAGACACAGCATCTGCTAACTCCAGGCTCATCTCGCTGTGGCTCCCACTCAGCCAGCTGGGCCTCAGCCCTCCATCCCAGCATACACACCCCGTTCCCACAGAAAGCAGGACTCATGCCTACTCCTCATCTCTACCCTGTGATGTCACAGATTATCCCTGGAAGAAAATGTCCTGAACTCTTCAGGGCTTGTTCTTGCAAAGCACTGTCTAAAATAGACCAAAACATATTTGGTAAAACTGCTCTTTGGCACAGGATTTTAACAATACTTTCCTTGGCTGGATGAATATATCCATAATCCTTCCTCTTCATGCAGCTTTTAATCATCCCTTCCAAAATATTAAAGTAAATTTATTAAAAAAAAAGAAAACTGGTCAGTCATAGTGGCACAGCAGTAATACAACACTCTATGATGCTGAGCCCACAAGGGAAGGTCCCGGGTTCAAATCCTACAGTCCCTCTGTGCACACCAGACACGTGAACATGTGCCACAATCTTAGCAGTTAGCGTCATGGCTATGTCGCTGGACTCCCACGTAGTCGACCACAGTTCTCGTCCCAGACCCAGTGGCTTAAAACTCACGCCGGGTGCGTGTGCGTACATGCCTAAGATCCCAAGAGGAGAATGGAGGCGAAGGGATTGAGGTGTGACTATC